CCTTTTGGTACAGTGACTCTGTGTATTCCTCCCATCTTCTCTTGATGCATTCTTCATCATTCAATAATTTGCCCAGTGAATCTTTCAATAATGAAAGCAAGCCTTGAATTTTTTCTTCAGTTCCCCCAGCTTGAGAAATGCTCACCATGTTCTTCCTTTCTGGTTTTCTGATTCCAGATCTTTGCACATTTTATTATAATATTTGGCTCTATCGTCTTGAGCTGATCTTTGAAATTTTCTGTTCAGCTCTTGGACCTCCTCATTTAGTCCATTTGCTTTAGCATCTCTACACTGGAGAGCAACTTTCAGAGTCTCTTCTGACATCCATTTTGATCTTTTCCTTCTTTCTTGTCTTCTTAATGACTTTTTGCTCTTCATTTATGATGTTCTTGATGTCATCCCCCAACTCTTCTGGTCCTCGGTCTTTAGTGTTTAATGTATCAAATCTGTTCTTCAGATGGTCTCTAAATTCAGGTGGGATATATTCAAGGTCCTATTTTGGCTCTCATGGACTTATTTTCATTTTCTTCAGCTTCAGTTTGAATTTGCATATGAGTAATTGATGGTCTGTTCCATAGTCTGCCCCTGGCCTTGTTTTTTGTTTTAATTTATTGGTCTGATTTTATTTTGAATTGCAAACACAGTTGTGACATATATTATTAAAGCTTCTGTGAGCTTAATGCCCAGCAGTATCAAAATAAACACACCAAGGAGCGCTTTTTGAGTGGTGACTTAAAAAGTAAAGTGAAGTATCTGATCTTTAAGAGTGTGATGAACTATTCTAGAGAGAGATGGGTAAATGCATCCAGGAAAACAAAATGTGGGAGCTCAGTAACTGGCAGGAGGAAATAATGAGAACAGGTACCACCAAGAGCTACTGAGAGTAATTAAAAAAAAAGGTGTTGCCTCACTGGACTGTGAGCCACAAGGTCAGTGGTTCAACGCCCCCAGCTGCTCCTCAGAAACCCTTGTAGGGCCTTTATCTTTTATTTTTTTTAACATGGGAGAGCATTAGTTTTGCATTCATCCTATCATATATTGTTTCATTGCCATGGTTACAATCTCTACCATGGATCACCAGTCAAGGAAAGGGTAGCGCCTACAAGCCTGCTCCCCTCTCCCCCTCTTCCCCCAAGTACACAGTTCCCCCAAGAACTCCCTCCCTGGGTCCCGAGTTCCCAGCTGCT